AAGGATTACATGAGATAATGCATGGAAACTCACAGCATAACATCTCATATCCAATAAGTGCTTAATAAATATTGTGTCCCTAGTGTTTGCATCACTGTTTCAAAATTATCAGTCAAGAAATGCACAAGGGTGGGACATATTTCAGACCGTTTTTGCTGCCTGCCGACTTCCGGCTTTTGTAAGTACTTGCACGGAAAGGGCCCTCATCCCTTCCCCATGGTCCCCCAGCACCCTGTGCTCGCCCCCGATTCCTGCAGCTCCCATCCTAATCCCACGGCCACACGTGTCTTTGCCCTTTGCTCTTGCCTAGACGGTTTCTCGAGCGCACGGACCATGCTCTCTGTGGTTCAGGGGCCTCTTTAGGGCATGGGATGCCGCTTCCCGCATACAAGGTCCTCAACGCTGCGCTAGCAGAATGGAATTCGTGCCTTAACTCTGGCTACTTGAAAAGCCAACTATCGATTTCATGGGCTGAGATCTTTGAAGATTTTCAAAGCATCAGAACCACTTCCCTGTCAGAGAAGTTCAAAGAAAGAATTTATCGACCGGCTTATTCTGTTCTCAAAGGTCCTTTACACTTCAGTCGGGAGAGGCCTGGGGAGAGGCTGTTCACTAGGGGCTCCTGCCTCTTCACAGACTGTCTGATAACCAAGGTGAGGAGCTTGGGCCTGGGCTGCCCTTCAGAACATATGAACCCCACAAGCCTAAAGCAAGCCCCTCCTCTGGGCTCACTGTGTCCTCAGTCCTTGCTCTCTGCCGGCAGAGGCTGCGTGGCATCAGAGTGGTGAAGCTGGCCTGCTCCGCGGGCCCTGCGTGGGGGACCTTGGTGCCACAGCCTGGCGCCTCAGTCTCCTTTCTGCCCTGAGAGGCCTGGGATACTGGTACATGCAGAAGCCAAATCTCAGGAAGCTTCAGCCAAGATCCCTACGGACACCCCACTCCCTCTGCTCCCTGCCCCCTCCCAGATTCTCTTCTTTCCTTCTGTCACCAGTTATGATTTACTGTCGGGAATTTCGTGGTACTTTGGTGCTACCTGAATGTTAATTAATGTTGTTAATGTCAGTTAATGATGGTTCAAAGTCCTAACAGCTGCACACACACAAGAAACAATGAACGAGTCAGAGTTAAAAGTCTGAGTGCAATGCATTCGCCGGGAAAGCCACGTTCCCTATGGGCTCTTTGGAAGAAGCCGTTTACTGCACCCACCTAAAATGTCTTAGCCTGTTCTGGGCTCTCAGATGGGACCTGCGTGATAAGGCTGCTTGCCAACCCAGCCAGAGACGGAGGGAGACGGCGGAGCTGTGGGTCCGAACCCAAAAAGAGGAATGGAAAACTCCAAAGTTCCCACTTCTAGGCTCTGATGGCATCTGTGACAGTGGCTCCTTGTAGACAGAGAAGCTGTCAATCATCTGTTGCTAAATAAGGAGGATGCAGCTCCCCTCCCCTCCCCTCCCCGCCATATAAAACGAACTCTACAAGTGTCCCGGAGTGTCACATAAAAAAGCATCAAGTGACACTTCAAAAATGAGCACTTGCACATCTTACAAACAAACTAGAAACTAACTTCATGGCTGCTCAGAAATGAGGGCGTTTGGGCAAAAGCCAAGAGCCGGGGTGTGAGCAGGTGTGGGTCAGTCCCTGGTGCAGAGATAAACAACTTGCCCCAGGGCCTGTGCCCTGGGAGGGACGCAAGTCCCCAGAAAGGGCAGTGCGGGTCCAGCCGAGCGGCCCAGGAAGTTTGCTGTCAGTCATCCGCCCCATGTGTCGCTTCAGGAAAACCGACTCTGCCAACTGCAGATTTTTTGACACTTACCTCAGGAAAAATGAGTTGTCCAACAGTGATTTCATGCCCAGTAAACCTGTCATCTTTACTCGTAGCCTTTTCTTTCCTTTTCTTACAGAGAAAAAGGATTCATTTTGCAAGGGAAAATAAACTCCCAACGCTGAAAAGCTGGAGTCTTCAAGTTTGCTTAAGCGCCAGACCATCGAAGGGGCCCCTCCAGTTGACGGCGCTTCCTTCCCACGTCCTCCTGGGCCGCCACCCACCTGACTCGTGAGCACGTTCCGGGCCCCGTGTTCGAGATCCCTGGCCAGCACAGTGCAACGCTGGGCCAGGGCACGTAAGGTGAGGAGACCATTCAAGTTCATCTTCAGACGCTTTTTTTTTACTTTTCCTCTGCTGAAGTTTAGGTAGAAGCCAAAAGAGCTGTTTTCACTATTGTCTCAAACTTAACTGCTGACAGCTAAGAAGTATGAATGCTTGGCAGGATTTCAGACTCCAACAATAAGCAAGCTGTACGAGGGGACGGTGTGGGGCTGTTCTTCTGTAGCTTTCCGCATTCCACCCTGTGACGTCCCAGAAAGCTAAGGGCACTTGCGCTGCCTACTCCAGGGACTTCAGGGGCCACCCCGGGGGCCTGCACAGCGGCCTGCAAGGGCACCCCCGGGGAACAGAGGCCCCTGATGTACAGGGTGCACAGTGGGCCAGGGAGCACACCCCAGAACAGGGGTCCCTCCTCTGGGATGTGTCCAGTGCTGACGCACCTGCTATAAGAAGTGTGATTGGAACATGGTATTAAGACTGTCAAGAGAGCCGAGGTTGAGCAGGAACGTTTGGGTGAGTGGACAGGCACCACACAGATCTGAGAAGGTCGCGCCTCCCTTATCTCACCCGCCACTTCTCTCCCAGTGTCTCGGATTGGCCTGGTTTGTTCCCACCTGCATTCCCTCCCTCCCTCAACATCACTCCCTGCTCCCACATGTCCCTGGTCTGTTTCCCCCACGATCCAGATCTTTCCAGGTCTCCACCTTCTATCAAGCCCTGTCACAGGGGCCGTCTCCTCTGGGCCCTGTCATCACTGCATGGGAGCTGAGCTATCAGATAAAATAATTTCTGCTCATGTGCCAAGTCTGCCAGGGAGCAAATGCATTTTTCAGGTTCTTTCTGGAGAAGATGTATTAACCCAGGAAGTGATTTTTTTTTTTTGAGAGGGCATCTCTCATATTTATTGGTCAAATGGTTGTTAAGAACAATAAAATTCTGTAAAGGGGGATCAATGCTCAATGCACAACCATTAATCCACCCCCAGCCTAATTCTCGTCAGTCTCCAATCTTCTGAAGCATAACGAACACGTTCTTACATGGTGAACGAATTCTTAGATAGTGAATAAGTTCTTACATGGTGAACAGTACAAGGGCAGTCATCACAGAAACTTTCGGTTCTGATCACGCATTATGACCTATAAACAATCAGGTCAAATATGAATATTCGTTTGATTTTTATACTTGATTTATATGTGGATCCCACATTTCTCCCTTTACTATTATTATTATTTTTATTTTTAATAAACTGCTGAAGTGGTAGGTAGATGCAAGATAAAGGTAGAAAACATAGTTTAGTGTTGTAAGAGGGCAATTGTAGATGATCAGGTGTGTGCCTGTAGACTACGTGCTAATCCGAGCTAGACAAGGGCAATAAAACATCCACGGATGCAGAAGATTTCTCTCAACACAGGGGTGGGGGTGAGGTTCTGAGCCTCACCTCTGTTGATCCCCAATTTCTCACCTGATGGCCCCCCTGCGACTGTGCCTGTCTTAGGTTGTTCCTCCCTTGAGGAATCTTACCCATCTCTGGCTAACCAGTCATCAGGAAGTGATTTTAAGTAAGGAAGACCAGAGATTGGTATTTTTGAGGGGCATGCATTAGAAGTCTTTCAATGACACGTAGCAGAAAGCCCATTGAAAGGAATTTGAACAGAAGGAGTTAGTCGGCTCCCATGCGCGCGGGGAAGGCGGGTGGGGCTGGCCCCAAGCACAGGGCAGCGAGGAGCCTGGGACCTGTCCTGACCCCGTCCCCCTCGTGCCTATGTGCTGGCCTGGCTCTCACGGGCTTCTCCATATGCCTCATGCACTCTTTGCACCTGAGCGCTGGCCCTGCCCCTGGCAGGTCTGGAGCCACACATCCTATTGCTCCGATCAGGAGAAGAGACTCTTTCTCAGAGTCTCTGGGGCCTGACTCTGATCTGCTCAGCTTGAATCACATTCTCATCTCTGGGCCAGTCACTGTGGCCAGTGTTTTCATTTTCTCGGACCACACTGAGTAGCTTAACACAGGACCCACTTATCGTGTCATGGTTCTGGAGGCCGGAAGTCCAGCAGTTTCACAGGACAAAATCGAGGAATTGGTAGGACGCGTTCCTCTCTGGTCTGCAGGCTCCAGGGGAGAATCCACGCCCTTGCTCACTGTGCTTGGGGGCAGAAGGTGCTCCTTGTGCCTGAAGATGGCCGTCCCCATTCTCGTAGGCTTTCTCCTGTGCGAGTCACTCCCGGCTTCCAGAGGCACCCCATCCCTTGGCCCCGGCCCTTCCTCCATCTCCAAGCCTGCCATGGAGGGTCGGGGGGGTGTGCTCCGGTCCTCTGCTCCTTTCTTCCTGTTGTCATGTTCCCTGGCCCTTCTGCTTTCCTCTTCTGTCTCTAAGGGCCCGTGCGATTACATCGTGCCCACCTGCGTGATTCAGGATAGTCTCCCCATCCTAAAACCCTCAACCCTAATTCTATCCCCAAAGTCCCCGTTGCGGTGGAGGCACAATGTCTATTAAATGGCACGCTCATGGGGCATGTCAGTGAACCTGGGAGCCTGTTCCCCGTTCGGAGGAGAGGACGTCACCATCTCAGGGGGTGGGGGCCTTATTCGGACTGTCACAGCCAGGTTTTGCAGGTTTTGGTCACACATCCACCCATGCAGCCGGAGCATGGGCTGGTGTGACTGACAGCTCCCACAGAACCTTGTGGAAGGAGAAAGAAACAAATTCCCTAGTAACAGGATGCTGTTAGCAGAGAAAAAGAAAGAAAATATCCAGTGCAAGGCAGGATGGGCTTTATTCTTCATTTAAGTCACTGCTCAAAGATGTTGGTGGACTTTTTGGTAGAAATATTAATATTCCCAGAGGCAAGAGCCTAAGACATTTTTTAATGAATAAATGAATGAATGAGAGGCTAGGCAGGTCAGAGGCTGAGGCTCAATGTTACGAAGTTTGCCCATCTCTAAGGCTTGGCACTTTGCTGGGCTTAACTATGTGAAACAAAGAGAAAACGGAAACTACTCAGGAATTTGGCCCAAAGAATCATGTTCACATATGGCAACAGAGGGCAGCCAAGAAGGCAAGGAACTGGAATCTGGCTCGAGGTCCTATGTGCTCATGTGCTTGAGCGGACCAGTAGCTAGAGCAGAGGGTTAGTCAGAGAGGCTGAATACAGCATCCGTGGGATGGAGGATCCTGGACCTGGTGGCTGTGGTCAGCTCCTGGAACCAGCCACACATCCTTGAGCTGGCCTGGCCTTGGGCCCATTCCATCTCCAGTGAAGGGAGTAGGATTATCAAGGATGGCAGTGAAGTGGCTGCCACTGGTCCCCAGCCCACACGCATGTCCAGCATCCGTGACCAGCCACACTCTCCCCGCCGCTGAGCCCCGGACATCCTCAGGACTCCTGGGGCAGCTCTCTGACAGCCAGTATGAGTGGTCCCATCTCAGTATGTGTCCAACCCCCTGGGCCGTTCTAGAGTTAGATCACTTCTGAGGTGCTTCCCAGCTTTAGCATTTCATATGCTAAGGCTCTGGAGCAACTGCTTAGGACCAAGGGAGCCCTAGGTGCCCCTTTCACACACCTGAGCCTGCACGGGGATAAAACTATCTGGTGGGAAAGGCAGATGGGGCTGGAACAGCCTTTGTGACTGAACCCCAGTGCTCAGTAAGCACTTCCGTTGGCATTCCCATCAGAGATGAATAAGCCTCCTCTCACCAGAAGTCAGGAAATGCCACATGGGTGCTTCAGGCACAGTACAAGGCATGTCCAATCCGTGATGCACAGAGAGCTGCCTGGACAGTGGATAAGCCATCCAGGGTCGGGACAGGAAGAGATGGTGCTCATCAACTAGGACACGCTGCAGTCAGCTCCCTAGAAACTCTACAATGGAGATTTTAGCAAAAAGGAAATTTATTAGGGTGCGATCCCCAGATGAATACCTATGGGGGAGGGGAAGGAGTGGGATCCGCTGGGGGACAATTCAGCTGTGGCCCCGGCAAGGGTCTCAGCTGACGGCGCAGGGGAGCTCTGGAGCTGGACTGGCCTTTCAGAGAACTCCCTGGTCGGGACAGGGGTCAGAACTTTATCTACTTCCATTGACAAGCCCCTGGATGCAGGCCGTCCCCAGGAAGGGGCAGTCCTTGGATGAAGAGGCTGCCAGAGAGGGCTGACGGGGAGCCATGTCAGCCAGCAGCACGCCTGGAAGCTGAGGGAAGAGCTTCTGTGGGCCTGAAGGAAGAGCTGGGTGGGCCACAGAACAGGGAAAGAAGCAAATGGAATCTCCCACCTGGACTGCCTTAGGTGACCCGTGGTGCCCGCCGATAGCACTCGTCACTGGTCATTGGCACAGCAGAGGCTGGCCTGCATCTGCACGTCTTTAGGTGTTGACCCATGGCACTTCCGCTGGTGCTCAGCGAAAGAAAGTACGAGAGTGAGAGACACAGCTGGCGCGGAATGTTCCTTCTGGTGGGTGAATGTCATGCGTCACTGCATGTTACAGTAAAAACATATAAATCGCATTATCCATATAATGCAAGTTACATAAAGACAGTGTACTAGTTTGGTAGGGTGCCATAACAAAATGCCACAGGCAGGTGGCATAAACAACTGAAATAGTTCCTCACAGTCCTGGAGGCTAGAAGTCCAAGATCAAGTTATTGGCAGGTTCAGGTTCTTCTGAGGTCTCTCTCCTAGGCTGGCAGATGCCCCCTCTCCCCATGCCCTCCCATGGCTTTTCTCCTTGCACCCACATACATCCCTGGTGCCTCTTTGTCTTCTGGTGAAGACCCCAGTCCTACTGGATTAGGAACCCACCCTTATGACCTCATTTATCCCGAATTACCTCTGCAAAGGCCTCATCTCCAAATATGGTGGGGGTCAGGGCTTCAGCACATGAATTTGGGGGAACACAATTCATACAGATAGTCTAGAAAAATCCTTTTAACACACCCTGCCCGTTAGTTTATGGATGCATGCGTGGTAGAACATAAAATATATATATGGAGGGCTTTAATAAGTATATCCTGAGGGTTTTTTTTTTGTCTCCTTAGTTTTTGCTTCATTGTAGAGATCTGATTGTTTAGGTTTGCATCTGGAAAACGTAGAGAAGTTCAAAGAAAAAATAAAAATCACCCATATTCCTATCTCCCATTTAAAAATTTATTAACATTTGATGCATTTCCTTCTAGTCTTTTTTCTCTGCTACATATTAATTTCTTTTATGGATTGGATCTTGGTGATATATATGTATATATGTATATACACACATATGTTTTATCTATACTTTCTTACTGTATGTTATCATTTGATCATTGCTCCACTTTAAAAGGAAGACAATATATTCACAGCTTAATTCTCTGATATTTTATACGGTGAACTGCTGCACCAAATATTTGCACGTAAATACTTTCTTAAATGTCTGGCTTCCCAATATTTCTCGTTTTCATACCCTTTCCTTTGTCCTCTCTTACTATCTACATTCTCCACATCCTTTTATGCACCATTCAAGTCCTCCTTCCTCAGGTAAGCATTTCTGGGGCACAGTTATCTGATCTTCCTTGGGGTTCATACAATGTGGTTCGTATGATTTGCTTAGTCCCAGCCTTTTCTGATACACCTAACAGCGCACTGCGTCTTTGCTTTAAGCCTTTACTACCCCAATGATCGTGCAAAGACTGCACCTTATGTTCCTGCCGCAGCTGAGGACTATTGCTCCTTGTTGATAGATGGGTTGGTTGGTTGATTGATAGTCTGGAGGGTACTGGCTGATGACTCTCCGCAGCAGGACTAAATGGGAGGCCCGGTCCTCTGCGTTACACCGATTTCCCGCTCTGTGTGCCTTGACAGCCGGATGGCTCGATTATGTCATATCCCATTGTGTTCTTATAATGGCTTAATTACTGCGTATGGGCCTCTAACTGCGACGTGCACAGAGGGTAAGCTCCATAAATAAAATGTGCTATCAGTGACATTAATCTGCTGCCAGATTCAGTTGTGTCTCCATTGCTGGGGTTCACGTTAAAATTCAAAGTATTGCCAAATATATATTGTAGGTAAAGAATCTATTTTAAATCCTTTCAGAGGGTGAATTAAGCTTCAGTCAAAACACGTTCCAGAAAGAGGAACTTTGAATGCTCTGATGTGCCCTGTGCCGTATGACAATTTATCTCAACATGTTTTCTCTCTGTGCAGTAGAAGATTGTACTGGCCAATGCCTAGAGGCACCTGCAAGATCTTCCTCATGCCTAATCTGGCCAAACAAAACCTTAGATCAGATACTGATTAAGTATTTAAAACACACACAAAACTATCTGGTTCATTAGGCTGGGCATAATAATTATATCACTGTAAATGGCTAATAGACCAACCCCAGATGACTTTGAACATTTAAAATTGAAGACATGGGAGGGAAGAGAAAAGGAAAGGTGTCCATATCATGTGTATGACCATAAAGGTCAGAGAAATCTGCCTTTTCATTAGCTTTTCTTTTGAATCTTTATTAAATTTAAGTTTCAAGTCAAGCTAACAACCATAATAACAAGTTGTGAGGTAAACGGATGTTTCCACCCAGAATTTCCATAATTCACTGCCTGGCCTTCGCCCATTTACATACCAGAGGATGTTCACCACAGCAGAGCTTCTGACAGATCCGGAGCAAGGGCTAGAGAGGAAGCGTCCATGCTCTTCTCTCCTCCTTCCCTGGTACCTATTGGTCTGGTATTTGCCAGGCACCAGGGACCCACCAAGGAGCTCCTCCCAGAAGGGGCAGGCAGGGGAGCGAGGGTGCACTGCCAAAGGGGACGGGCGGTACAGGGCCCAGCTAGCAAACCTGAGCAAGCGGCGAGAAATAAACCCCTTACACCCAGTGCCCTTCCCCTTGTCTTACTTTGGTTTTAGTGGATTCACAGGGAGCCCGTCCTAGGTGGGGAATCCCCTTCCCCCAGGAGCTAGATAAGGTGCAGCCTGAGCACCCACAAACAGCAAAGCGGGGGGCATGGTTTTTCAACATAGCTGCTTTGATAGCACTATTTTGATGAAAGCACATTTTGTTGTGTTTAAAATAAATGTCAGCTTTTATTTTTCAAAATGAGTGGGAAAGCAGATAGCCTTAGCCCTTCTGAGGCATCAACCATGCCATACACCATCCTTGAGATTCAGACCCTACCCCCGCCCAAGGGGATGCAGGTGGTTCAGGAAGAGGATAAGTGGGGCACGCACACTTGCTTTTAAAATGATTTGACCCGATCATTCTGATGCCTCAAAACATTTGCAACAAAAGCCATCCTTTAGTGCACGTCACAGAGGAGAGCCATTTCTGGATACCTGGCCTGATAGTAATAGTGAAACAATTGCTCTGATAATTCATGGAAAGAACAAAAAGGCACTTCACTTATCTACATGTGTCAACTGAGAGCCACATGTGCCCGGATCTGTCCAGTCAGTCTTGTCGGTCCTCTTTCCTGCCATAGGTGCAGACAGCAGGACATGCAGAAAGAGTGAGGAAGGGAAAACGCAGTGGCTCAGCAAGGGTAAAGGGCTGGACCGGCGCCGTGTGCATGTGCCCTCCCTCCCTAAACAAGACCTAGCACAAGAGGAGACCCATGTGGGAACAGGCCTGTGGTCCCTTCAGGGAGGGGTGCATAAGTCACTCACCTTGAGTGCAAAATGCAAGGGGCACCCATAAGCCTGGCAATCAAGATAAAAGTTTTTATTAGCAATGCCTTTCATTAATCAAAACCAATGCAAAAAGTCTGAAATAGGCAGAATATCACTTTCAAAACAGAGAGATCCAACCCTGCATTTGTATGACCCCACCTCATTGGCCCTACTCCGTTCCTGACAAGGTCTCCTAGTCCATCTTCAGCAAATCAAAAGATGATCTCTCATTAAAAAAATGAAGGATAAAAAACTCTCAAAGGTCATCTTCCGAGTGCTCACATGGCTGTTGCCCCAGAACTTAAGCCCATGTCTGCACCCTTGGCTCTGTGCGTGGGGGGAGACCCTGATACCATCCCCAGCCCCAACTGCGGGAGAAAGGGAAAAACAGAGACTGACCACCTCAGCGAGAACTCGGAGGAGACAAGGGGATTGGGGGGCCCAAATCTAAGCACAGAGTTCGCAGTCTGACCCAGAAGGCAGAATGGACTGGTGCCCAGTTAAGACTCCCAGCACAGAAACAGGCACTGGGGGGCGGGGGGGGATCTCTATCCAGTCGTTTAAACTCTCAGATGATATGAACCTCTTGTTGGGCTCATTCCACATCTCAAGTTATCTAGATATTTGGGATATTACTACATATCCATTTCCCAGACAATATGACTGGCAAAACTATCCTGGGGAAAAAAAAATCAATCATGGAAGGAAAGAGAAAGAAGTAAGAGAAAACTGGTATAGGTGGAAAATAAGTAATAAAAATGGTATGGTACTGGCACAAGAACAGACCCATAGACCAATGGAACAGAACAGAGAGCCCAGATGTAAATCCATACATATATGGTCAATTAACATATGGTAGAGGAGCCATGAATATACAGTGGGGAGAAGACAGTCTCTTCAATAACTGATGCTGGGAAAACTGCACAGCTACATGCACGAGAGTGAAACCGGATCACTGCCTAACTCTATGCACAGAAGTAAACTTGAAATGGATCAAAGACCTGAATTCAAGACATGAAACCATAGAACTTTTAGAAGAAAACATAGGCAAAAATCTCTTGAACATAAGCATGAGTAATTTTTTTCTGGATACATCTTCTTGGGCAATGGAAACAAAATAAAAAATGAACAAGTGGGACTATACTAAACTAAAAAGCTTCTGTTACAGCAAAGGATACCATCAACAAAACAAAAAAGCAATCTCCCATAATTTCGGAGATTATACTCATAAATGATATATCTGATAAGGGGCTAACATCCAAAATGTATGAAGAACTCATACACTTCAACACTCAAAATCAAATAACCCAATTAAAAAATGGGCAGAGGATCCAGACAGACATTTTTCCAAAGAAGACATACAGATGGCCCACAGGCATGTGAAGAGAAGCTCCATATAGCTAATCATCAGGGGACTGAAAATCGAAACCACAATGAGATATCCCCTCACACCAGACAGAAGGGCCACCATCCAAAATATAAGAAATAACAAGTGTTGATGAGGATGTGGAGAAAAGGGAACCTTCCTACACTGTTGGTGGGAATGTAAACTGGGGCAACCACTGTGGAAAGCAGTATGGAGGTTCCCCAAAAATCTAAAAATAGAAATGCCCTACTATCCAGTAATTCCACTTTAGGAATTTACCCAAAGAAAACAAAATGTCTGCTTTGAAAAGATATATGCACCCCTATATTTATTGCCGCATTATTCACAATAGCCAAATATGGAAGAAACCGGAGTGTCCATTAATAGACGAATAAATACAGAAGAGGTACATATACACAATGGAATATTATTCAGCCATAAAAAAGAAAGAAATCCTGGCATTTGTAATGACATGGATAGACCTAGAGGGTATTATGATAAGAGAAATAAGCCAGGTGGAGGAAGACAAATACCGTATGATTCCACTTACATGTGGGACCTAAAAACAAAACAAATGAACAAAACAGCAGTAGACTCATGGACACTGAGAAGTGGCTGGTGGTTACCATTGGGG